TCTTGTTCACGAGTGAGGGCAGAATGGAGCGGGAGATCGACGGACGGATCGGTGTAGCTGCCGCAGTAATGGGGACGATGTGCCGGTCCGGTCAGAATAGCTTCACTTTAATCCTGAAAAAAAGAGAGAACAAGAACCAGAGGTCAGATAATTGCTAAAAAACTGAAAGGGCTTGAAATTTGATGAAAACCCATGAAAAATGAAAAAAAAAAACACAAAAGGAATGTCAATGTGAATTAAGCTGGATAAAAGTTCTGCAAGAATCAAACAGAATTTTAAATTAATTAATTAATTCATCTTCTATACTGCTTATTCCATAGTGAGCTGGTGCCTATCTCCAGCAGTCTACGGGCGAGAGACGGGGTACACCCTGGACAGGTCGCAGGGCAACACAGAGACATACTGGACAAACAACCATGCACACACTCATTAACACCTAAGGGCAATTTAGAGAGACCAATTAACCTGACAGTCATGGTTTTGGACTGTGGGAGGAAGCCGGAGTACCCGGAGAGAACCCACGCATGCAGAAAGACCCTGGCCAGGAATCGAACCCAGGACCTTCTTGCTGCAAGGCAACAGTGCTATTGTGCCACGGTGCAGCCACGGTGCACGGTTTAAATAAAGATTTTAATGTTTATTATTTTTTGTGTAAAATGAAATTTGAACATTTTGAGGCAGTTTAGTTTTAGAGGGATTACCATTATTCACAGGATTCTGACTTTGGAACATCAAAAGTACCCTATTTTTTCTTATAAATAGGTCTTTTATTCTGTAAGGATAAGGAATTGTTATTTTCAGACTCCTTGGTTTTTCAGTGACATTTTCTTTTAGGGGAAATTTAAGTAGATTTTAGAGTTTTATGAACTGATCCAACCAGAAAACGTCTGTGTTCCAAGATGCCTCATTTACTCATCAAGATTCCCGTAATAACATGAATAAAATGGATTAAACAGATCAGAATTAGTAGAACTCGTCTGAAGAGTAGCAAAAAGAAAGTCACAAAGGCTTTTTATTCATAGAAAAGTAGTATTGTTGCACAACCTTTAGATTTCTTTTTATGTCACATTTCCTGTGCTTCCTAAAAATTATCTTGCTAAATTATTTCAAAAACCCTTTATTTTAAGTGTGAACATCATTATAGAGGTACTATTTTACAGTTAAACATGACATTTGATGGGCAGCTCTGACTGTGCAAGAGTTCTAATGGATTCCCTCTTCATCATGTATCAGAGCTTGAGCTTAACAAGGTGGTGAGTGATTGATGGTGCAGATGAGGAGCAGCTGAGGCCACAGGAGGGGAGCTATGAGAAGCCAGTTTCGTGACAGCAAAGAGGGTATGATCCTTCCTGCTGCTGCACATGACGTGCGAAGAACAGACAGGAAACTGCAGGAGGGGAAAGGTTAAAACCCAGAGGTCAACTTCTCTGACTGAATATTTGCAAAACGTTTTGCCCCGAGTCGCCCCCTTGCTTAGTCTTCTACTCCCCTTTCATGACCCCTCCACATTTGGCATCCTACATGTCTTCCAAATTGATGAAAGATGTTGATGAACTGCAACAAAGGAGGTCAAAACCAGATTCTAGGTCTCACGCGAGACAGTTCATCACAGTCAAGTGCTTTGCAGCCATTAAAAACAACAAATTGGTGTACTGTTTGAGTCTTCCCAGATTATGGCCATAACCTGAAGGCACCTTTAAATTTCTTTCACAGCTCTCAAATTCACGGGCCTCATTTAGTCCTTCCTGCAAAAGTAACACAGATTCTGTGACACGCAGCAGCCGTCCCTCATAAATTTACACACTTGAATAGGGCCCTTGAATCTATCAACCTGAGAACTTTAAATGTTGGGGCCACATCATAACATGCATGAAGGTGGAGGGGGAAACTCACAGGTGCCCCTCGGCTGAGGCTCGCAGCTCCTCGCTCCCTCACTCTGCAGTCACGCAAGCGCTGCCCCCCTCCTGGCCCACAAACTGATTTTACTGCAGCCTACGGGGGAAACCAGACGCTACAAAGGCCCTGGGTCCACATTAATTTCATGAACAGGGTTAAAAAGACATAAATCATTTTGAAAGAAAGAGAGAAGGAAGTTGAAGTTAGGGTACTTCCTTGACCCACAGATAAAACTGAAACGGGAACATGAAAGACGTCCAGTTTCAAATTACTTTAGTTTCTCTTTTTTTTTGTTTTATGATTGTCAATTTTTGAGCATAATTGAAAATAGCTGTTATTCGACATGCGTGCTGTCTTTAACTAATCATATTTTCTCTTTACACGCAAGATTCCAGGAACAGAACGGCAAACTGTGTAGGTCATTTGAGATTTACAAGTTTGTTTTACGCTCCAGTATTCAGTCTCAGACTCTGTTTTATAAAACGCACACACCCAATGTGTCTTTTTCTGGCCGGACTTTAAACTGGGACTTGGAATATTTTTTTTCATGTTCTTTTTAAAGCTAATTGTCTGTCATTACAGGGAAACTGAAGCAGATTCATTGTAGATTTATTTGCATTGGGTGGAAGTTAACAGCTTTGAAGACATGTACAGTGTACAGTAATTGCCTCATGATCTCGTCAACTCCAGCACCTTTGCTTTACTTTTGCCTTTACAGCGCCTCACAAAAGTTTTGATTCCACTTCAACTATTTCACATTTTAGTCAAATTACAACCACACACTTCAATGTATTTTAGAAATCACTAAAATCAAAGCTGCAAGGTTTTGGGGCATGTCTCTACCAGATTTTGGATGACATGTCAACAGATTCTCCTACCTGAGCTGCAGCTCCTCCAGAGTTATGAAATCTCTGAGGCTATACAAACAACTCAATTTATAAAGAGATTAAAACCTTTGCTACAATGTATGTTATTAGGTTAAAAGGGGCTGAACACAAATACAGGTCACACTTTGCGCATTTCTATTTGTAACAAATGTAAAAGCATTTTCCTTCCATTTCTTAAATATCCACTGTTTTATTAAAATATGTTAAGGAAATATGTGAAGTGCTGTATCAGTACTTCTGCAAGACACTGCTTGTCTATGTCTCTGTGTCATAAAATCTGGGGATGCATAGAAGTTTTCTCGAAACCACTTCTGCGGTCTGGGATTGAGAGTAATTATAAGTGTTTGCTCAGTTTCATTCCACTAAAGGAAACTCATCTACACATGCTAAAACTTCATTCTCACAGCCACATTTTTACTCTTGTAAAGATTTTATGGGCTTGCGTGAATATTGTACATTCCTCACCAGCCTTATTATGAAATCATCTAAACTGACGTTCCCAGATGCGGGCTTCCGTTCTGATATTTCTTGGAGGTGCATTGATTTGAAAAACCATTAAAACCACATTCCAAATGTGTGTGAGAACTTTTATTGATTTTTAAGTTGAGTGAAAAGCACAGTTGTTCATTTTTGCCACATGAAACCTCCGCTGCGTCTCATATTAATGCATTTGTTGACATGTATGTTTCACCACGGGCTTTTGATTTGTAATCTCTGCTTGCACGGCAGCCTCGGTTTACAGCAAAGGTCTCGACGTATGGACACATGCGGGTACACCACAGACGCCTGCTGTGCTCTGCATGAAAGGCCTCATTTAGAGCAGCACAAATCACATGTGCATGGCAGTAATTACCCCAGTTTTTCCCTGACACGCCATGGTCATTTACAAGATTAACCAGTCATAGATAAATAAATAAACCCTCTGTGAATGTCTCTCCTAAACATTGAGTTCAACTTAAAAATACTATTTTCCATTTAAGATGTTTACAATAATTATTACATTTATTCTGAATAGTGTAAGTGTATTTATAAAAAATTTCACATATTGTATAGTCTGGGGATTTTTCATGAGAAATGAAGGAAAATCAAATCCAATTTTATAAAAATAACAAAAATGACAAGAAGTGCTCCAACAATGTACAACAAGAGAAAACTAATATAAATACATGTAAATAACCTTTTAAATCATGTACATACATATATACATTTCTTTTGTACTATGAGATGTGGAAAACCTAGATGCATATCTGCACACAGAGTGAAGTTTAATATATTTACATGGAAGCTTTATTTGGTCAGCTCTATGGTTCACTTTTGACATTTTTGGCCCAAAACCTAATTCAGTAGATTTTTGGATGTGTGTATCTTTACTACATCTTCATTACAAGATGTATGATATCTCTTGCAATAATGCATACATTTTGCATTACCTTTCAGAATATGCAAAAGTTTTGCTAAACATTGTTTCTGAAATATTAAAAAAATTTAAAATGTTATATCAATAAAGCTATTGATAATTTTCTAGCAAAAAAAACTTAAGGAGGATAAAATAACTAACCGGACATGTTTAGTTCCATTTTCTCGCTATTTATTGTTAATGTTCTGCAATTAAAGGATCCCATTTCAGTATGCCAGCAGTGCTTAAAGATGCATTTAACTAACAAGAGTTACATTTTGGAGAATGATTTTACATGTATAATGTCCTCTCAGGCATGTTGCTCCTTCAGGTAATGATGAGGTCATTTATTGTCAGCCAGTGGAAGCTGCTCTGTCGGCTCAAGGTAATTATCTGCAGGCACGCAACAGACTAACCGATTTGAGGTTGGCCCCCGACACTGTGCACACCCCTTTAGCCCCCCCCACCTAGTGTTTTACCATCTTCCTCTCATTTCACAAGCTCACCAGGTGTAAGAGGTTCATATTTATCTTACTAATCATTCTCACTTTGCATTCCACTGAGGCTTTTGGGTTTGATGTAGAAAGTAACACAGGGTTTTCATTGAGATATGGAGTCATCCACACTAATGACTTGCAGGAGAGTGCCCCATATCCTCATCTGAGAGACGTTAAACCAGAATTCAGCCTAGGATCAGCTAAGGACCCAAGACTTTTATGTGATGTGAGTTCAGAATAGAGACAAAAATCTTTCTCAGTAAAATACTGCCCTCTAGTGTCCAAACAATCTCATACCATGAAAAGGATACCTTAAAGCACGGGGTGCACTGTGGCACAGTTGGTAGCACTGTTGCCTTGCAGGGTTAGGGTTAGGGGTTAGCACTGTTGCCTTGCAGCAGAAAGGTCCTGGGTTCAATTCCTGGCATGGACTCCCAGCATGGAGTTTGCAGGACCCCCTGTGCATGGGAGGGTTGTCTCTGGGTACTCCACCTCCCCCCACAGTCCAAATACATGACTGTTAGGTTAATTGGTCTCTTTACACCTCACCTTAGGTGTGATTGACTGTGTGTGCATGGTTGTTTGTGCCCTGTGTGTCTGTGTTGCTGGAGATAGGCACCAGCTTCCTTGTGACCCACTTTGGAAGAAGTGGAAAATTACTGACCTTAAAGTGTGCTTGGACCTTGAACCAGGAAAGTTTTCCAGAGCAATTAATTTCCCCACTGCATTTCCACTGCTGGTACAGGGTTAAAAATGTATCCCAAAATAAGTGCCTGAGTGATGAGGAGCCTTGTGGATTGGTTATATGTTTTTCAGCCTTATTTATCATGTTTTAAACTCATCTCAAGCTCATATTTTCTGTTGCCTTTTATTCTAATAAATCACAGACCTCTGCTTTCAACAGTGTGTGGATACAAAGGGGGGGCAGTCAAAGAAATACAATTTTTAAACCTTTCATGTCCAAGAAACAATTGAAAGGCTCACAACCCCTGGGGCCATTAACAGATCTCAAGTTTAAAAGAAAGTAAAGAGAGCTGCAGCTGAATGTGTATGTGTGTGTATATGGTTAATGCTCCCTTCAGAAATAGCTTTGAATAATAAAAAAATAATCTGCTAATACAACCACAACCTGTTTTATGTGTGTACCTGTGCTAGTGGAGATATAAGTGGGGTGATGGTGAGCTGATGTGCCTTGGAGGACAACACGGATATAAGGTTTTGGGTGCTGTGTAGGAAAGGCCCAACTGAGAGAGGTATGGCTCAAAATTGTTTACAACAGACACCCAGGGAAAAATAAAAGGTTCTGGAAAGGTACGTCTTCTGAGAAAATATTTTCCTGGTCGCAAAGTTTAAACACAACTTTAGAAACAAGCCTGTTTTAAAATTCTACTTCTAGTCATATAATTTAAACCCATACAAAAATGAAATGCCTTTCGTTCACAGTTAGAAATGAGCTCGATCCAATCCAGTATTGGTATCTGACCTGAAACTGACTGACTGGGATCAGTATTTTGTTGCGGCAATGACCAGGACAGTCCTTGGTTTTTACTGCGGGTCATACTTTAATAATGTACACTAAACCTAAGATGTATCCGTAGTTATTTCATAAATTATATACAAACATGCTGAAATATATCAAGAGCTGTATATTTTTTTAATTTGTCAGATTACTTAAGGTTCAAACAAACTAGCAAAGCTTGATGTGGAGGCTCGGCTATCAGTGGATAGTCTGCTGCTTAATCACATCACCTTGTTCTTGGATATTTAGTGGAAATGATGAAAATATAAGATAGAGGATTGTAATGCGTTTTGTGCAAACCTTTAGAGTGGTGGCAGACTATATCAGTAATGTAAAGTAAACAACTGAGGACAGAACTTGAGTCAGACAGCATTGTGCCCCCAATGCATGTCTCGTCTCAGCAGTCTGTATTCAGATTTAGCAGCTCCACACCTGGCAAGTACATGAATATAGGCATAAAAGGGTCATTCTGAGGCTTACTGTGTAATCATCAATCTTATAAGTATGAATATAACTGAAGATATGTGCATAACATGCAGCAGTTTAAGTGACATTCTTCATGTGGATTATTTATATTCACAAGGACTAAAACATCACTTTATGTTTCAGGAAAAGTGCCTTAGATTGGAAACAATATTGGTATCAGCAGACATATAAATACAGATATTCGATCAGAACCCAAAAACCCTGGATTGGAGCCTTTCTTGTAGTTTTCCCATAACACACATTTTCATAATGCATGTTCATTGGTCTGAGAAACTAAAAATGGAGGAATTAGAAACTTGCATGAGGAGATTCAATATAGAAATTCTCTATGGTACGGCTGCTACTCTGAGATTGTTTTTGGTCCTCTGGATTGATGCTGCTGGTGAAGTAGTAGTAAATGAACAGGAAAAATCCTACAAGAACAAAATGCATAGGTTAATTTTTCTTTTATTTATCAGGCATTTAGTCTGAAATTCAACATGTTAACTGTCAGGTTTAGGCTTACCATGAAAGGAGTTGAGGACGGTGAAGATGTAGTAGGAGGGAAGGAGCAGAGGACCGTGGCTAAAGAAAGCAAACCCCCAGCTGATGCCCAAAAGGCAAAAAAGACCCAGAAGAGAGAGAACCCTTTTCTTGGTGGAGCTTTTGTTCTTGTTGTTTGCTTTTGATGCAAATTTAGTGATCTGCGCTGCAGTTACAATGAATATGGTTAATGTGAAGATGAACACAATGCTATAGTAACCAGTGTTCACACCTAAGTGTAATGCAGACCCAGGGATCCAGCACCTGAAAGTCACGAAAGAAATGTGATTGTTTTATAGCCTGAAGCTTAAATATGTAATCAAAATTATCTTCATTGGATCCTTACATGTTGACTGAAGTCCCATTATCACCAGAAATTCTTATGTCACCATATTTATTAGAAGCAAGAAGTCCCACCACCACCACAGCTGGAATGACTGAGAAAATATACGTTTTCTTTTAGTTATTATAGTCTGCAGACAAGCAGATCACATAATTTTTTTGACTCAGCTCTCTTACCCCATCCTGTGATGCAAATCTTCCACATATAATGTTTCATGTCTTTGAGGATTTTGTACAGATTGAAGTACAGGTGTAAAGCCTGCATGAAGAACCATGTGAATGTGGCCAGCATGCTGTAGTGCAGAACCGCTGCCATCGTCACACATGCTGCCATGACCTTCAGGTCAGCAATTGACTCATTTATCAAGAAACAAAAGTTCAGGACGAACAGGGCGATAAACAGATTCATCAGGATCTTTACAGCTTGGCTGGTTTTATTTTTCCTGTGAACCAAATTGGTTTGTATTATCAGAACACTTTAGAGAAGAATCATTAAAATCAAAAGCAGAGCTTTTAATATTTTTACCTTATGAGAAAATGCATGAAGAGAGCCACACCTAGGAAGAACATGGACATGCCACAGCCGGCTTTTGTGATTTGGGTCAGGGTTTTCAAGTCAGAAGAACTAAGATTGTTAGTCCCTGGTGACTGGTGTAAATAGAAACATGTGTTTAGTAAACATGAACAATCTTCAAGGTAGTTTTAAAAACTGTATAAAATATCTTACCATGAGAATAGCAAAAAATGTAAGGTGAGAGCATTGGCAGATGATGCTGCCATTGTCCTCTTTTGTGTTGCAGCCATCTGTGATCCAGTTGTCTGCGCCAGCTGGTGAGCAGGAGGAACAAAAGCGAGACTTGTATTTCCCAGGTAAATAAGCGAGAAAAATTAAGCGCTGTCTGAGAAATCTGACTTGTTCTGCCTCTAAGTTTATAAGACTCTGGGTGACAAAAAGCAGGCATAACATTATGACCACTGACAGGTGAATTAAATAATGCCTCTTTCTCATTGCACCGGTTAGTGGGTGGGATATATTAGGCAGTAAATGCAAATTGTGTCATCAAAGTGGATGTATAGAAGCAGAAAAAAGCATAAGGGTCTAAAGGAGTTTCACTTGGGTTAGATCGTGATGGCCAGACAAGTGGGTATTAGCATATGCAAAAAATCCACCTTCTCCTCACTCCTCTCTTTGTCATCTGTCATTACAATGCTACTAACCGTCTCTAGAGGAGGAAGAGGAGGAGGAGCGAGGGCCCCCCAGAAAGCAGAGGTAATGTGACTTCATCCCACTATAAAAAGAGGTGTGGAACCAGTGCACCAAATGTGGAGCATACACATCTAAAAATATATTTACTGATAAAATTTTTACATTACACACTTTTACAAGAGGGCTGCATGGTGGCGGAGTTGGTAGCACTGTTACCTTGTAGCAAGAAGGTCCTGGGTTCGATTCCCAGGGGTCTTTCTGCATGGAGTTTGCATGTTCTCCCAGTGCATGCATGGGTTCTCACCGGGTACTCCGGCTTCCTCCCACAGTCCAAAGACATGCCTGTGAGGTTAATTGGTCACTCTAAATTGCCCTTAGGTGTATGAATGAGTGTGTGCATGGTTGTTTGTGTGTTGCCCTGCGATGGACTGGCGACCTGTCCAGGTTGTACCCTGCCTCCCGTCCGTAGACTGCTGGAGATAGGCACCAGCTACCCCGCGACCCACTATGGAATAAGCGGTAGAAAATGACTGACTGACTGACTTTTACGAGAGAGACATTTTTGAACCGAAGACTAGAAAGTGTGTATGTTTTTTTTTGTCCATTCAATATAATATTGTGTAAAAATCAGTGTAGTTATCAGTTATGGACCTAGTCTAGGTTGCGTTTAACTCAAATGTTCTGCTTTGCACCTCATAAATCTGAACTTATATTTTCCCCTTGAACATTCAGGCATCTTTATCACAAAAAGGGCATAAAAGGTAAAAAAAAAAACGTAAAAAAAATAGAAGAAATGTCAATTTACAGTTAGATTTGAAGTTGTTGAAAATATTTGAAAAAAGACATATCTATATTTATGTCATTTTAGGACCTAAGGGTAAAAATTGTAACATTATTTGAAGGGTCAAAAGGGATAATATTGCATCCCATGACATCGCTATGACAGTATATTTGTAATATACTGTGCAGCCTCATTAATATTTAACAAGGCTTAGTGATACGTGTGGTGAGAGAATGCTTTCCCATGTGGTCCAGTCTGACATTTGAGCTACTGTCGCTCAGACTACTGGAGGAGCTTGTTGGTCCGGATAGAAAGAAAAACAATGCATCACAGTTTGTTTATGGAGCTGCATACCTGCAGACCGGTCGAGCGGGCCATGTTAGTCATAATGTTATGCCTGATCAGCAAATACTATCTTTGCATCCGTCGAAATTCTTCATTAAGAGTTTTACGTTTTCAAAAATGCACAGTGCTGCCTGATAAAATGAAGGGAACTGACTAATCGTAGCAAACTAAGATTTCCTCAAGGATACAGGCCCTTATACATTAAACATCTGAAAAAAATTACTTTTTCAA